AGTCATCTGTGTCCAATACCCTCTCAAACAGTTCTCGGGTGAAAGTATTGAATTGGAGGAAGGCTGACTACAACACAATTAGGCAGGAACCGGGGAATGCAGACTGGGGGCAGCTGTTTGATGGTAAGTCCAAATATGGCATGTAGGAATCTTTTAAAGGCCAGTTGATTAGCATTCAGGACCAACATGTTCCTGTGAAAATGAAGGATAAGGATGGCAGGATTCAGAACCCTGGATGATAAGAGAAATTGAGAGCTTAGTCGAAAAGAAAAAGGAGGCATACATAAGGTTTAGGAAACTGAAGACAGACGGAGCCCTCCAAGAATGCAAAAACAGCAGGAAAGAACTCAAACAAGGAATTAAGAGGGCTAAAAGGGGCCAGGAAATATCCTTGGCAAACAAAAGCAAGAAAATCCCGATACGATGTATATATAAATAAGGAGCAAGAGGATAGTCAGGGAAAGGATAGGACAAAGCAGGGAATTTATGCGTGGGGCCAGGGGAGGTAGGTATAAGTATTCACAAAAGAGAAGAACAAGGTGGATGATGAGCTTCGTGAGGGGTATGTTGATATTCTAGGCATGTCAATATGAAAATAGAGGTGTTAGATGTTTACAAAAGCATTATGATAGACAAGTCCCCAGCACCTGATGGGATCTATCCCAGAATGCTGAGGGAGGCAAGTGAGGAAATTGTTGGGTCCTTGTACAAAATCTTTGTATCCTCTTTAGTCACAAGAGAGGTTCCAGAGGACTAGAGAATAACCAATGTTGTTTCTTCGTTTAAGGAAGGCAACAGGGATAGCCCAGGAAATTTCAGGCCGGTGAGTTTTATTTCAGTGGTAGGAAAATTATTGGAGAAGATTCTTAGAGATAGGATTTACTCACGTTTGGAAAAACATGGATTATTAATGATAGACAATATAGCAATATGCAAGGAAAGTCATGTCTCACAAACTTATTGAATTTTTGAGGACGTGGCAAAGGTGATTGACAGGGACAGGTTGTATTGTCTATATGGACTTTAGCAAGGCCTTTGACAATGTTCCACTTGGCAGGCTGATACAATAGGTGAAGTCACATGGGATTGGTGGTGTCCTGGTAAGATGGGTACAGAACTATCTTAGTCATGGAAGACCAAGAGTAGTGGCTGAAAGAGTGTATATCTGACTGAAGATCTGTGACCAGTGATGTTCTGCAGGGATCAGTGCTGGGACCCCTGTTGTTTGTAATGTATATAAATGATTTGGAGGGGAATGTAGTGGCCTGATTAATAAGTTTGCAGACGATACGAAGATCAGGAGAGCTGGGAATAGTGAGGAGGTTTGCCAGAAGATACAGCAAGATATAGACAGGATGGAGACTTGGATGGAGAAATGGCCGATGAAATTTAATCCAGGCAAATGTGAGGTGATACATTTTGAGATATCTAATGTAAGAGGGAAGTATACAGTAAATGGCAGAATCCTTAATAGCATCAACATACAGAGAGATCTAGGCGACAGGTCTACTGTTCTCTGAAAGTGGCAACACAGCAGATAAGGTTGTCAAGAAGGCATATGCCATGTTTGCTTTTATCAGTCAGGACACGGAGTATAAAAATTGGCAAGTCATGTTCAGCTCTATAGAACTTCAGTTAGACCACTGTAATGGACCAGACTAAATCCCCTCAAAATATATCAAGGAGATAGCTTAGACCGCAATTTTTATCTTATTGAAAGGTTAATCCAGAGACTCAAATAACGTTCTGGGGATCCAGGTTTGAATTCTGCCACGGCAGATGGTGGAATTTGAATTTAATAAATATCTGGAATTAAGAATCCAATGATGACCATGAATCCATTGTCGAAAAACCCATGTGGTTCACTAATGTCCTTTAGGGAAGGAAACTGCCATCTTTACCTGGTCTCACCTACATGTGACTCCCACTGGGCAATTAGGGATGGGCAGTAAATGCTGCCTAGCCAGTGATGCCCTCATCCCATGAATGAATAAAAAAATGTAAGGAACTGTGTTCCAGATGTGATTCGATTGACTCACTATTATTCTTAAAGTAAAACACACTTTATTTTTACAACACAATTAAATTTCTGGAGATACAGAATGAGAATCTGCCCATAGATGCAGAGGGAGCAACTGGCATAAGGAACGAGATACTCCCAGATTTACAATACTGCAAATCTCCCTGAGATACAGAGAGACACCCCCTGAGGCAAAGAGAGAATCTCCCTGGATACAGAGACACTCTCCCTGGATACAGAGATACGCTCTTAAGACACAGAGAGGCAGTCCCTGAGATACAGAGATGCACTTTCTGAGATGCAGAGACAATCTCCCTGGATTCAGAGACAATGTCCCTGAGATACAGAGACAATCTCCCAGAGATACAGAGAGAATCTCCCTGAGATACAGAGAGAATTTCCCTGGATAAAGAGAGAATCTCCCTGAGATACAGAGACGATCTCCCTGAGATACAGAGACAATCTCCCTGGATACAGAGAGAATCTCCCTGAGATACAGAGAGAATCTCCCTGGAAACAGGTACAACCTCCCTGAGATACAGAGAAAATCTCCCTGAGATACAGAGAAAATCTCCCTAGACACAGAGAGAATCTCCCTGGATACAGTGAGAATTTCCCTGAGATACAGAGAGAATCTCCCTGGATACAGAGACAATCTCCCTGAGATACAGAGAAAATCTCCCTAGATACAGAGAGAATCTCCCTGGATACAGAGACAATCTCCCTGGATACAGAGAGAGTCTCCCTGAGATTCAGAATGAGGATTCCTTGAGGTACAGGGTGGATCTCCTGAAGATATGGAGTCAGGATTCTCTGAGATACAGAGTGGGGATCTCCTGAAAATATGGAGTGAGAATTGCCTGAGATACAGGGAGAATCTCCTGGAGATATGGAGTGAGGACTCCCTGAGATACAGAGTGGGGATCTCCCTGAAAAACATTTCCCAGAGATACAAACTGAAAACCTATCCGCGAGATACAGAATGAGAGACTCCCGGAGATACGGACTGAATATCTTACAGTTATAATCCCCCGGAAATGTAGAATGAGGTGGAGGGAGAGAAACTCTCCAGGATGTGAGAGTTGATTGAATGTCGCTGTGTTTCGGGTAAAGAACTTCCTGTCCAAGAGTGGGATGTAAATTTGTTCTGTTCTTGGTTTGTTTTGTTGACAGCGGCTGTTTGGTTGCGAATGCTTTGCGATTGAATGAAAATTCCCAAAGTGCCAGCCAGTGATCTCACTGCGTTTCTCCGATTGATTCTTTTTCTTCTTGCTCTTTCCAGCAGCCGGTTTAGATTCTGTCAAATCGACTTGGTACTCGGCATTATTTCCTTCTCTCTTGCAACGAGTTGCTGAAGGAGAGCAAAGTTGAGGCGGCTGCCCAGTGGCCCAAGGTGGGGTGTGCCAGGCAGAGAGGATCGGGATCAGGTGAGGGCTGGCATGGGCAGAGAATCCCGGAGCTCGGGCACGGTTACCGCTGGAAGGTACGATAGCCCCCGGACCTACCTGTCTCTCGGCTGCAGACAGGACCAGCCCCTGGCGGTCGGCTCAGATTCTACAGTCCCGGCCAGTCGGCAGTTCTCTACCCGATTATTTTTGCCATCAACAAGTTGCTGTTTGTGGAATCTTGCTGTGCGCTGATCGATTCCTCTTATTTCCTCCAACGCAACAATGACGGCACTTTGTCTCATGAGCTGCAGGGCACTCTAGTACACCCAAAGGCAGTGAGGGGTTATATAAATGAAAGTTTTTTAATGCGAACCAACATTTGCAAAGCGGGATAAATTGACCCGGGCTGTTTCTGACAGCTTGCTTCTGGGAGTTTGGTATCACGGAACTGTTATGGAAGGAGACCATTCGGCCCATGGAGCCTGCCTTCAAATGAGCACCATTACCTTGTGCCAATCTCCTGCTTTCTCCCCATTTCCCTGCACATTTTCTATCCAGATAATCATCCAGTGCCCCCCTTGAACGCCTCCACCACAACTGCAGGAACTGCATTCAAGACCCTAACTAAGCGATACGTGAAAAAGTGTTTTCTCACATTATTCTTGCTTTGTTTGTACATCACTTTAAATCTATGACCTCTCGTTCTTATTCCATTTACAAATATAAACAACTCTGTCCAGCCCACTCATGATTTCGAAAACCTCTATTAAATCTCCTCTCGGCTTTCTCCCAATCCCAACTTCTTCAGTCCATCCTCAGAAATGAAGTTTCCCATTCCCAAAACAATTCATGTTTCTGTACTTTCTCCATTCTCATCCTTCCCAAAATGTGGTGTCCACAACTGTACACAATCCTCCAGCTGAGGTCTGACAAGTGTATTCTACAAGTTCAGCAACACCTCCTTGCTCTTGTCCTCCATGCCTTTATTAATACAGCTGAGGCCACTGTATGCTTCCACTTGCCCCGCTGCCTTCAATGATCTATGCGCATTTACACCCAAATACCTCTAATTCCATCGTCTCTGAGATAGTGGGGATGGGAGGAGGAACAGAAGGGGAAAGAGAAGGAAGAGAGGGAATAGGGAGAAAGATGGAGGGGGGAGGAAGAGAAAGGGGAGATGGGGGAGGAGAAGTGAAGACAGAGCAAGGAGGGGAAGAGAGAAGGTGGAAGAAACGGAGAGGGGAAGAGAGACCGACGGGGAGAGAGAAGGAGGGATGGAGAGTGAGGGAGAGGGAGGGGAGAGTGAGGGGGAGAGAGAAAGGAGGAGAGAGCGAACTAGAGGGCGTGAGAGAGAGGCGGCGAGACAGACAGAGGGTGGAAGACAGAGAGACAGAGGGGGCGTTAGAGAGAGAGGGGAGACAGAGAGTGAGGGGAGAGACAGAGAGAGAGGGGAGACAGAGATATAGAGGAGAGACACAGAGAGGGGGCGACACGGCGAGAGAGGGGAGACAGAGGGAGAGGCATAGGGGGAGGGCCGGAGTCATGAATTGGTTGGGGTGGGGTGGAGGGGGGGCGGGCTGGATTGGAGCAATGAACACAAGGCGTGATGACAGCAGCATCTGATGGGCTGGAGCCATACTCACTGCCCTGTTCCTGCTGCTGGTGTGCAGTGAAGAAAGTAGACTCGTCAACAGAACCAGAGGCAAAAATAGAGAGAAATAAACATAGAGGAAAAACACAGGGAGAAACAGAGAGAGAAACATAGATACGGGAGAAAAGGAGAGCGAGAGAGAGAAACAGAGAGCGTGGAAAGTAGAGAGATAAAGGGAGAATCAGAAACAGGGATCGAGAAATCAGTGAGAAGTAGGTTCGCGGGAAGGAGAGGAAACAGAGGACAGACTGTTAGTGTGAGGCTGGACACCCGGCTCCGCACACCGCGCTCCGGACACTGGACTTGCTCTGAGCCGCCCCGTTCTCTCCCGGATCCGCTCCTTTGGGAGATTTCTCCAGCTCCGCTCTCCTCGCGTTGGGGATTTGGGGCCGGGATTGCTCCAGGAGGTAAAACACGTACTGCCTTCTCTATATGGGGCATGACTTTAGTTAAAATGGGGCAAGAGTGAAGTATCGCTTCAGCAGCTAGAGTCTTTAAATTGCTGGGCTATTAACGGGTCTGGGGTAATTGAGAGTCTCGGGGCTATTAGTAGGTCTGAGCTGAAGCATTAGAAGGGCAGTTAGGGGTCTAAAGTTCATGAAGTAACAGGGCGGGGACACAAGGTAGAGAGTCACGATCGATTCAGAGTCCAGGGGTCCCTGCGAGCCTGGGGAGGTCACAGCAGCAACAAGCCATAAGATGCAAACACAACGCCCTGGAGGTCGTTAGCAGGGTCAGACAATGTCTGTGGAGAGAGGAAACGATGGAGAGAGTCAGCTCGGGTTGTGACTGTTCATGATGAAATTCTAATAACTGGTGAAATGTTAACCTTGTGTCCCCCACGCCACAGACAACACCAGACTAGCTGGGTACGTCCAGCTTCTTGTGTTTTTATTTCAGCATCTGTGGTGTTTTGGTTTTTCCACAAAGAGGAGCCAACACTTTCCCTATTAATCATTAATTCGTTAAAATCGGGTTGACCCTGATTAAAGTTTGGCTGGCACAGAAAGAAGCCATTCAGCCTATCCAGTGCTTAGAGTCACAGAGCCATAGGCCCAACTCATCCATACTGACCAGGATTCCTAAACTGAACCAATCCTGTTTACTTGTGTTTGGCTCATATCCCTCTAAACCTTTCGTATCCATGTCCCTATCCAAATGTCTTGTAAATGCTGTAATTGTACCCACCTCTACCACTTTGTCTGGCAACTTGTTCCATAGGGGTGGCACGTGGCTCAGTGGTTAGCACTGCTGTCTCACTGTGCCAGGGACCCTTGTTTGACTCCAGCCTTGGGTGACTGTCTGTGTGGCATTTGTATGGGTTTCCCCTGGGTGCTCCAGTTCTTCCTCCAGTCTAAAGATGTGTGGGTTAGGTGGATTGGACATGCTAACTTGCCCCATAATATCCAGGGATGTGTAGCCAAGGTGCGTTAGTTGTGGTAAATATGGTGTTACAGGGATAGGGTAGGGGTGTGGATCTGAGCGGGATGCTGTTTGGAGGGTTGGTGTGGACCGGATGGGCCAAATGTAGGGATTCTATATACACACTGCCCTCTGTGTGAAAATGTTACGAATAGGGCTGTCTGGAGATAAGGACACAGCGGTGTCTTTCCAGTTGTTTTCAGATCAGTAGCAGCAACAGACTGGTCATGTTATCTTTCTGCTTGGATCCTCCGTGCAATAATATTGTGTTTTTAACTATTGCAGTGCCAAAACAAGCAGTGCTGAAAGCTGCCAGCCTCTCCCAGAAAGCCTGACCTAGGAGTGATGGAGGAGTGTTACTGTTGAGATAGCAGCCACCGTTGAGTTTCAGTGAGACATTTGAACAATTTGATCTAGATGAATGAAACAGCTATAAGGACCTCAGAAAAGGAAGTTGCAAATCTGTGTCGGACTGGGAGAATGGAAGTATTAGTTGGTGGAACTCACCCATCCCCCAGCTTTCATCTCTGACCTGGACTGTGCTGAAGCTGTTTCTGGTTGGCAGGAGGTGACCTGGTTCTGAGTTGCCGATATGCCCGGTGTTTCACCACAGCACGCCTCGCCCACTCCATCATGCTAACAACTGGGAGGCAGAGTTTGGAGATTGTGACCTACATAGTGTTTGAGCTTGTCATCGCTGTTTTAGCCGTACTGGGGAATGTCCTGGTCTGTTGGGCCGTCTACCTGAACAGCAACCTGCAAAACGTCACAAACTTCTTTGTGGTGTCCTTGGCTGTGGCAGATATTGCTGTCGGGGTACTCGCCATCCCCTTTGCCATCACCATCAGTACTGGTTTCTGCTCCCTTTTCTACGGCTGCCTCTTCATTGCCTGCTTTGTGTTAGTGTTAACTCAGAGCTCCATCTTCAGCCTGCTGGCCATCGCCATTGACCGGTATATTTGCATCAAAATCCCACTCAGGTAAGAAGGATCACCAAAATCTCCATGTACGGGGTAATGTTTTATTGATAACCTCACTACTAACTGGAGGGAGATCAGAAGATTATCCCCATCCATTCATTTATTCAAAGCTAGTATCTCTGGGGAAAGAGGCAATTGGATGGCACAGTGACTTGGGCATTGTCTTTGCCCAATTCCAAATTGAGTCCATCCCAGTCTCAATTTATAAGAACTCCTGTGTAAAACAAGTTTGAATCAGTGGGAACCTCCTCCTGACACACTGCTTCTGTGGTACTGAGGAAGAGCTGAGGACTGGCCTGAAATTCTGGCTGTTTGAGGCTTACACTGACAAACACAAAATCCTTCAGCTGTAATAACAAATTCGAAGGCCATCAACACAGGGAGCCTGCAAATTGCTTATTCAGATTACTTTAGAGCTTCTTTTTCTCTCTTTAAACAAAATTAAATTAATAATTTTCTAAATTCTAATTTTCTAAAATACTTAAAAGATGAGTGAAGTTGTGTTTGTAAGGGAGGGAGAGAGGGTGAAGAGGGTCCAGTTTATGAGGTGAGGGGAGGGTGAGGAACATATGGTTTATGATGGAGGGTGGAGGGAGGCTGAGGAGGGCCCAATCTGTAAGGGAAAGAAAGTGAGGGTCCAAGGGACGGTGCGGAAGGTCTAATTGTAAGGGAAGGAGGATGTGGAGGGTCCAATTTGTGAGGGTGGAGTGAGTGAGGAAAGGTGAGGAGGGTCTGTTTTGTGAGGGAGGAACTGTTCTGTGAGGGAAGATGGATGACAGTCTAGCTGATGCAAGCACAGTGCTGTCATTGCCAATCGTGCACAGGATGGCCACTTTGACGAGGGGCTGGGCACCATGTTGCGGAGATTGGAGATTAGTTGGGTGAATAATTGGCAGTGATACCCACTAAGTCTACCTTGTGTTGGCACTGAGTCAATCACACTGTCTGTTACCCACTAACAGATATCCAGCAACTCTAGCTGCACTGGGGAGCCTCATAGAAACTGACTGTTTAATTCAGCTCCAAGTGCGTACAATACTAATGAGGACAGTGCAATAAAACTGGTTGATAGAATAAAATAGCAGCATGTGGTCCATTCCATGTTTCAGCCCTTGAGTCTGTTCCTCCACTGAATGAGATCACCACTGGAATATAACCAAAGTCCACATATCCAACTTTACCCTATGTCCAATAATAACTTTGGGGAGCAGAAATCTGTCAAAATCAGATCTAAATTTAGTGACTGATTATGTGTCAATTGCCCTTCAGGGAAAACAAGATCCAAACTTCTATCACCCAATATGTGTAGACTTCACAGCCAGTGGAGGAAATGGTATCTCTCTATCTACCCAGCTGGTTCTAAATACCTTGAAAAATCTTCATTGAACCACATCTTAATCCTAAATTCTAAGGAATATAGCCTAATTTGTGTAATCCCTCCTCATGATATAACTCATGAAGTCCTGGTATCTTTCTGGTGAATCTACATTGCACTTTTCCAAGGCTAGTATCTCCTCCTGAATGTATGGATATCCAGTGTAGCTCACAGTGACTCCGGATATGGTCTAACCCGGGCTTTTTACACCCATGGCATGACTTCCACCTTGTGTTCTAGTTTTCTCAATATAAGCCAGCATCCCATTTGTCATCCTAGCCATTTTCTGCATTTATTCACGATATTTTAATAAGTCCCTTTGGACCTGCGCTGTTACTAATCTTTCATCGTTTCAAAATATTCTGTTCTGTCCTTTTCAGTTCTAAAGTGGTGACCTAGCATTTGTTTATATTGAAATCTGTTTGCTCACTCGCATTGAAATTCACATTCACCCATTTACGTAATGTGTTATTATTTCTTTGTCATGTTATGCTTCCTGAAATAACTCCACAAAGGCTGGCAGCCCATCACCAAGTCTCACTTAATTTACACACGAACAGTCCTTGACTATAGTACTTCCTAATGCAGAGCCAGGTACCAGGGTGTCGGTATCTCTGTCACTCATCCTTTATATCTATCAGCCAGAGCTCTCCGATTGGACCAGATTAACTGCCCCAATCAGGGAATGTGTATTCTATGAGGTCCAGCTGGCTGACCTCATAACGATCACTACACTTCCATCGATGCTGCTTACAAGACTGTCTCATCATTTAAATTGTTCATAAAATGGTCAATAGTTAAGATCCCGACACAGATCTTTACAGGGCACCAATGGTCACATAATGCTAACTAGAGTACCTGGCTGTTCCTGTTCTCTGTCTCGTGCCGCTCGGCCAAATCCCCTTCAGTCCCTTAAGCTTCATTGTTAGCTAACAGTCTCTTTGTAAGAAATATATCTAAAGTCTTCTGAAAGTTCAAATAAGTTCATGCACATTTTTCCCCTTGCAGAATTTCAGTTATCTCTTCTGAAAACTTAATCACTTATCAGGTATGACTTACCCTTAAAAATCTACACTCGTTCGCTGATCAACAGAAAATTCTAAAAGTGTTCGGACTTCAGTTATTTTCCAATTAAAGATAACAGCTCTATCATTCTCTAGTTTCCTTCTGTCACCTTTCTTAGAAGAGTGATACATGTAGTTTTCCAATCTAAAGCTATGGTTTCAGAATCTGGGCGATACGGGAGATTATAATTGGAACTTCTGCAGTGTTCTCTTTGAACTCTGTTCAAGCTCTGGCTGCTAACTGTCTGATCCCAAACACCAAACTAGAACTTATTATCTATCTTCATACAGAAAGAATCCAAGGACAAAAAAAAAATGAGGGTCAAAAACAAGTGAGGAACCTCATACAATCCAAATCACTGGGGAAAAGGAATCAGGAAAACTAATGGGACTAAAAGCTGTCAGATCCCTGAGACCTGATGGCCTGCATCCTAGGGTCTTAATGGAAGTGGCTGTAGGGGTAATGGATGCTTTAGATATTATCTTCCAAAATTTCTGAGATTCTGGAAAAGTCTTAGTGGATTGGAAAACTGGAAACATATTCAGGAAAAGAGAGACAGAAAGTAGGAAACTGTAGACCAGTTAGCCTCGCACCTGTTATTGGGAAAATGCTAGAATCCATTATTAATGTGATCATAGCAGGACATTTAGAAAAATCGTAACGCAATCAAGCACAGTCAACATGGTTTTATGAAAAGGAAAATCATGTTTGACAAATTCATTATTGTTCTTGCTTCGTGTATAATGGGGACCTGATAGATGTGGTGTATTTACATTTCTAAAAGACATTTGATATGGTGCCATTTTTAAGGCTATTGCAGAAGGTAAGAGCCCATGGCATTGGGTGTGATATATTAGCATGGATAAAGGACTGGCAAACAGGAGACACAGAGCTGGGTTGAATGGATCATTTTCAGGTTTCCACATTGATTTTAATGAATTGCAGAGTGGGCCTGAGGATGTGATTCAGTTCCTATATCATGTTCAAATGTTACAGCGCTGAAGGAGGCCAATCAGCCCTTTGGGTCCATAATGGCTCTCTCTGAAGATTCCATTCCCCTCTTCATCTCTATAGCCTGTAAGGCTAATTTCCTCCAATTACTCATCAAATTTCCTTTGAAATCAATTGGCTCCTTCCGTCACCTTCACGGGCATTGAGTTTGAAATTGTTATAATCCTCACTGCATGAAGAAATCATCCTCTCATTCCCCTTGTAACTCTTGGCCAATTCTTAAAGCTGCTTCTTCTAGCCCCTACACCATCAATTACTGTGAACAGTTTCCCTTGTATAAGTTATCCAAACCTGACATCATCCTGTATTTCTATCAAATCTCCCCTCACACTTTGTTGCTCCAACTTCTCCAACCTTATCTTTAGCTAAAATTCCTCATTCCTGGAATGATTCTGGTAAATCTCCTCTGCACCCACTCAAGGACCCTCACATCCTTCCTAAAGTGTGGTGACCCAGACCTGGATACAGAGCTCTCGCTGTGACTTCATCAGAGCTTTCTACAGGATCAATATACTTTCATTGCTTTTGTACTCAGTGCAACTATTCATGAAACCCACCTTCAACATGTCTTGCCACCTTCAGAGATTGAAGCATATGAACCCCTAGGTCCCTTTATCTCCGCACATACTTTTGAACCGTGTCATCAATTCAAAATTGCCCCTCCCAAATGAGAGCCTCTTCCTCTCTGGTTTCCCAGAATAGTGTCAGGCACATTTTATCCAGGTCAGGTGATTTATTTCTCCTACGAAAAGTCCGGAACCTCAATCTGCTTCCTTTTTTGCCATTCTTATGTTAAAATGTGAAGAGAGGGGGAGGGGTTTGCAAAATGTTTTGTGAGAGAACAGAGAGAGAGATAATATATGGGCATAAATTAATGAAGGTGCCAGAACAGGTTGCGAGATCAGTTCATAAAATGTACAGAATCTTCGGCCTTTCTCGCAGGGCAGAGAGAGCAAGAGCAAGGAGGTTACATTAAACACATAAGGCGCTAATTCAGCCTCACCTAGAGTAGTATGTACATGAAGGCATTGGAAGAGAATGCAGAAAAGATTCACGAGAGTAGCTCCAGTGACAAGGGATTTCAGCCAGTTAACTAGATTGGAAGATCTTTCTGACAGTGTTATCCTAGGACCTGTTAGAGGTGGTCAACACCGTGAGCAGTCTGCACAGAGTAAAGTCAGGAGAGACTGTTCCTGTTAGTGGAAAAAACCAGAGAACACTGACTGAAGGTGACTGGAAAAAGAACAGGAAAGTGATTTTATAACCTGAGTGCTTAAGATCCAGAATGCATTGTCTGAGAGGACAGGAGGCAGATTCAGTTGAGGTATTTAAGAGCATCATCTGAAAACAAAGCATGTGCAGGGCTATGGGGAGCAGGCAGGGAAATGGTATTTGGTACATTGATCATTCCAAAGAGCTCCCACAGAACATGACTCCTGTGCTCTGACCATTCTGATAGTGTGACGTGCAGAGAGAGTTAACTAGAGATGTAAAATAAATGCAGAAGGCAGAAAGGTCAAACACAGAGGGAAACATCTGTAATGAGAGA